CTGGCTGGATGACCTTGGGCAAGCCATAGTTCTGGCACAGCTGTTCTTGAAAAAGAGCAGTTTCTGTCAGAGTTCTTTCAGCCCCACCTAACTCACAGGGTGCCTGTTGTGGGGAGGGGAAGGGAAAGGAGTTTGTAAGCCTCTCTGAGACTCCTTTGGGTAGTGAAGGGTGGGGTATAAATCCAATCTCATCTTCTTCTTCTTTATATAGCCGTTGCTCTCTAATATTCCAGTTCCCCATATTTACTAATAATTAAGGCAATTTGGCTAACACTCTGCCACAAAGTTTGTTAGTCTTTAATGTACTACTGGACTCTTGCTCTTTTCTACTGCTAAAGACAGACTAACATGGGTACCCATCCAGCATGGCAATCCATTTTTCCATCTCTCATCGGGGCTTTGCTGGGATGCTTCACAAAACATTCAAGCTGCATTCAGCATAATGGGTTACTGTTCATAATGGCCTGGCATAGCCTGGAGACAATAAGCTGGACTGAAGTTAGATAGGAATTTGTTGAAGTCTCATGGTGGGTATGTAAAGTGTTTTATTGATTCATTTATTTCAATCTAATAGATAGTTAGACCAGTTTATTATCTTGATAAACACAGAATTACAGTAATTAAAATGCTAAGTAAACAGCAGTGAGCATGCACACACACACAAATGTTGCCCTATGAGGCCCCTATTGCGCCTCTATGAGCTCAAAGCTATGAGGACCTGAAGTGTGCTAGTTATGTGCAAAAGGGACTGAATTACAAGATGGCCCCAAGTCATGCCAGCTATAGACACACGTCCTGAAGAAGAAAGCCTTCCTGTGAAATGCTGTGCCTATGATTCCTGCATGCTACCAACCCAATCTCCTGCAGTAAGGTGGACCAGTTCCCTAGCCATGTACAGCACTAAGAAGCCAGGCTGCTGTCATGCTAGGCCAGAAGATAGGGGCCCCAGACTCCATGAAGAGTCCCCTCTCCTCACACGTAGGCAGCATGTTTGTCCCCACCTAATACATCATCCAGTCGAAACTACAGACATGAGACAACAAGAGAACAATGGCTTTGGCCAGCACAAGACATAATCCCATCAGGTGCCATTGTCCAAACTAGTTTGTCATTAGGTCTAACATTGCCCACTCCCCAGACCTTCGACCCCAACACCAGTCAGCATATTTTGGGGACGGACTAGCAGGAGGTGTGCCAAGAGAGGTGGCCAAGCTTAGCCCACCCCTCAACCTCCTTATAAAACACAGCACTCAACACCAGCTCTGTCTCTCTCTTGCCTACTTGCACTCTTGCTCCCCTACCTAACCCCCTCCTACCCGAAGCCTCCGACTCAGCCAGAGTCTCATTGTGCACCTGCCGGTTCAGGACACGACCCTTTCCCTGGCATCCCATAACCCCCTCATTTTCCTGAGATTCGCTCCATCCAACTACGGACAGGTAGAGTATCTCCCATCATCGAAACATCCTTCTAATGGGAATGTGCTATTCTCTTCTATCCATATTTCCTAGATGCTGTGTAATTGTGTGCGTGCTTGCATTATTATATGCTTGAAAAATCTTCAGTAAACAACCCATTTTATACTGACGTCAGTCTCAGCATCTATTTGGTGTGTCTGGAGGAAACGCAACCCCTGTATACACAGATGCTTGCCCCCGCAGTCGCCTATTGCCTGGTTTAAGATCATAACTCCCCATATTAAATAACGATTTAAGGCAATTTGGCTAATACAAATAAAAAGAAAGCTACCCAAAATTCAGACAAGTGGCACAGACTTCATTTGGCATGCAAAAGATGGGCTGCAGGTGATGAGGAAATATGTATTTTTATGCTGCATCATGCTAGTGATTTTTCTACTATTGTTAAACCTACCAAAATAGCCAAAATGAATAACAGGAGAAATTATTGGGGTCCTTTGGGAAAAGAAAGAGAGGAAGCAGTTGAAAAAACAAAAGACCTGGAGCTTATTCTTTAAAAGAAAGAAGGTAGCTGACACATCTCAAGATCTTCTGGCAATATTCCCTCTCAGGATTAAGTGACTGCCTTGCTTCTGTTTTCAACCATAAAGCTTATAGATGGTGTCCCGTCACCCTGTTCACCCGCCATTTTCCTGCTGTGCTTTTCCCCGTGCCATTTGCCTCAGCAGAATCATAAGGTTCATTGGGTTTCTTTATCATATCTTTGTTTGCTTTGCAGTCACCTGTAGCAGTGCTCTGAGTTTTCCAGTTCCTGAGTTCAGTGGTAAAATAATGTATTAAAAAAACCTGGTGGCTTGCCAGTGGAAATAAAAGTATTATTTATGAAAGATAACAGAAACCTCCAAGGTAGCTTTCTCAGAAGTGCTACCTGTTCCACGTACAGGGCTGGAGAGACAGGCACAGATTAGGAGTCTAAATGCATGGATGAGACGATGGTGTAGGGGGGAAGGGTTCAAGTTTGTTAGGCACTGGGTGACCTCTGCTGGGGGAGGCCTCTATTTAAGGAAGCACCTTGCCAGAGGCAGAGGAGACCAGCTGAGCTCTGAGCAGGAGCAGGAGAGAGAGCTGTGAGAGAGGTGAGTGGGTTTCTTTTACTTGCTTTCAGCTGAGAGAATTCAGCTAAGGATATTTTGTGGGAAAACTGTGTTTAGCAGTGTGTGGAAGCACTTAGAGTTCTTGCAGAGTCCTGGCTGATTGAGTGTGGGAGAGGAACGGGCATTGTTTGACTGGGATTGCCTGTAATTGAGAGGAAGTGGAAGGGGCATTGTTTTGCCTGTGATTGAGTGCCTGGGTGAATTTGAATTTGAATAGCTGCTGCCTGACCTCTGCTGGGGGAGGCCTCTATTTAAGGAAGCACCTTGCCAGAGGCAGAGGAGACCAGCTGAGCTCTGAGCAGGAGCAGGAGAGAGAGCTGTGAGAGAGGTGAGTGGGTTTCTTTTACTTGCTTTCAGCTGAGAGAATTCAGCTAAGGATATTTTGTGGGAAAACTGTGTTTAGCAGTGTGTGGAAGCACTTAGAGTTCTTGCAGAGTCCTGGCTGATTGAGTGTGGGAGAGGAACGGGCATTGTTTGACTGGGATTGCCTGTAATTGAGAGGAAGTGGAAGGGGCATTGTTTTGCCTGTGATTGAGTGCCTGGGTGAATTTGAATTTGAATAGCTGCTGCCTGACCTCTGCTGGGGGAGGCCTCTATTTAAGGAAGCACCTTGCCAGAGGCAGAGGAGACCAGCTGAGCTCTGAGCAGGAGCAGGAGAGAGAGCTGTGAGAGAGGTGAGTGGGTTTCTTTTACTTGCTTTCAGCTGAGAGAATTCAGCTAAGGATATTTTGTGGGAAAACTGTGTTTAGCAGTGTGTGGAAGCACTTAGAGTTCTTGCAGAGTCCT